ACGCCTTCTATATGCTCAGTATTACTTCTATATGCTCAGTATTCCTTCTATATGCTCAGTATGCCTTCTACATGCTCAGTATTCCTTCTATATGCTCAGTATTCCTTCTATATGATCAGTATTCCTTCTATATGCTCAGTAGGCCTTCTATACGCTCAGAACGCCTTCTATATGCTCAGTATGCCTTCTATATGCTCAGTATGCCTTCTATATGCTCAGTATTCCTTCTATTTGCTCAGTATTCCTTCTATATGCTCAGAACGTGTTCTATATGCTCAGTATGCCTTCTATATGCTGAGTATTCCTTCTACATGCTCAGAATGCCTTCTATATGCTCAGTATTCCTTCTGTATGCTCAGTATTCCTTCTATATGCTCAGTATTCCTTCTATATGCTCAGAACGTGTTCTATATGCTCAGTATGCCTTCTATACGCTCAGAACGCCTTCTATATGCTCAGTATGCCTTCTATATGCTCAGTATGCCTTCTATATGCTCAGTATGCCTTCTATATGCTCAGTAGGCCTTCTATACGCTCAGAACGCCTTCTCTATGCTCAGTATGCCTTCTATATGCTCCGTATGCCTTCTATATGCTCCGTATGCCTTCTATATGCTCAGTATTCCTTCTATGCTCAGAACGTGTTCTATATGCTCAGTATGCCTTCTATATGCTCAGTATTCCTCCTATATGCTCAGAACGTGTTCTATATGCTCAGTATTCCTTCTATATGCTCAGAACGTGTTCTATATGCTCAGTATTCCTTCTATATGCTCAGTATGCCTTCTATATGCTCAGTATTCCTTCTATATGCTCAGTATTCCTTCTATATGCTCAGTATTCCTTCTATATGCTCAGTATTCCTTCTATATACTCAGAACGCCTTCTATACGCTCAGTATTCCTTGTATATGCTCAGTATGCCTTCTATATGCTCAGTATTCCTTCTATATGCTCAGTATGCCTTGTATATGCTCAGTATGCCTTCTATATGCTGAGTATTCCTTCTATATGCTCAGTATGCCTTCTATATGCTCAGTATGCCTTCTATACGCTCAGAACGCCTTGTATCTGCTCAGTATGCCTTCTATATGCTCAGTATGCCTTCGTACGGTACCTATCATGTAATAAATACAGGCATACACTTTCACATGTTATTAATAACTCGATCATTGGATAATGTAATTCAAGAGCTTTCATTGGCTTAGCCATCATGATATATGAGCCATTGTACCATGCTCTACAAAATATGTTAAGCGTACGTGTAATTTTTCGGGGGTCGTTTTGAATATTTTGGGGGCGTTTTCAATAAAAAAATTATTCCACTCGCGCTTTTTGGATACAAGATGATTAGAGCCAACTAGGTGTTACGCGCCTTGTTGGCTATCTACCATCTCGTATCAAACGCGCGCTCGTGGAATAATTGTGAGTTATGGTCTGGACCAATAAAACCACGATTTATTAGATTCGTTAGGACTTACTGGTAAGATGTTTTTGAAGAGTTCTGTTTTCCACGGAAGAGAAAGCCGTTTCTCAAACGAGCCGTGAGCGTGACCACGCTCTCCAAGACAGACGTAAGACCCCGTCACATACTCTATACACAGAGGGAAAAAAAGCATGTAAGTCATTTTGGAGTCTTCTGCTGTTAATTAAAGTCCAGGTCCACTAATTAACAAAAAAATAGTTATTCATCTGCAGCTGTTTTTTCTCGATCATTTGTTTCTAATCTGTTAAAAAGGCGAAGGAAAAACTTCCATCGCTGTACATTTTCCGATATTAAAACAAAGGAACTTCGACACTCGCTAGGTTTTAATACATTCTGGAACTTTATACGAGTATGAATACGAGACTGATGACCCAGACTGAATGAACGACCGAGAAATTAACAGTCAAACGAACCCAAAGCGAACGAACGCCCAAACACAACCCAACCAAACAAACAGAGGGCTGAACTGACAGACGACAGTTTCTTCAGTTTACAAACTGCACAAAGTTAAGACTTCTGGAGAACTAAATCAGCGGGTCTGATTTTCAGTGATACCCTGCTGGAAATTCAAGGGTTTGCAATTCGCAATTTAAGTCAAGGCTTCCTTACAAAGTTCTGTTACCTTCCTGCTATATTTACGTACGTTGGTAGAGTTCTCTGTATTGTCGTTCCCATAGAGTCACTTTATGATTCCTTAATTCTATCATGACTCTATATCCATGAAGTCCTACAAACAGGGAACATATAGAGCAACTCAATATAAAAGTTTGTATTCATACAGGAGAGCATGAGGAGTAAGAGAGTTCATCTTCCATACAAACCTCACTCACAAGGTAATCCCTGTCAAGTTATTTGGAAATCCCGGAAGGGTCTATAAATAGCCAATCCTGTGACGCCGAATTTTAGTGCTCACGTGGACAGCTCGTGCAGCTATAACGAATTTTCATCCTCCACGAAAACATCTACCCAACGCGCAAGGAGACATAATTCACGAAAGAACTGGGTACCATGTCTAAAAATACCTTGGGAGGGAATACTTTGGGAATAAGGACTACAGTGGAACCCTGTTAATCCAGTCACCAACGGGCCACAAACCTCTGGGCGTATTAACGGGGTGGTAGTATTAAAGGGGTTCTTGAAATAAGAAAATGACTGACTGAGTCTTTTTCGGGCCAGAATAAGATGGCCGTAATAACAAGATGGCTGTATTAACGGGGTGGCCGTAAGGCGGGGTTCCACTGTATATGGAAGATTACCTTTCTTACTCTTCATCTTCTCTTAATGACGACTGATTTCCCTAGAACAGCAGCCTTGATGACAGAATGGTGTTTGAATCAATTCTGGAAAGATTCTGGAAGACTTTAAGGAGGCAGCGTGGACGAGTGGTTGGGTCGCCGAACTTGAAATCTGGAGGTCGTGGGGTCAAGTCCCGCTCTGACTACTTAGCGGGAGTTGTTTCTCGGTAGACCCTTCTTCAACTCCTTGGTCACGCTTGTAAACAGCCAATAGGTCTGCCTCCCACCAGTTGGGATTTTAAGCCTGTTATGTTTAGTTGATATATTTGTTTCTTCCAGTTTAAGTGGCGTGCCTGTGAAGTAGCTAAGCGCATTGACCACTGTAAACGACAACATTTTGAACAATCTTTTGAACATTTTGCGTACTTTGATGTGAAACCTTACAACTATGTATACTTACCATACTGTGGGTCTATATCATCTGGAACAGGCTTATGGGCTGGTGGGACAAACGCTCTGAAAGGAAAAGAAAGAGTTCTTTGTAAGTAACTTGTATTCAGTTTGCCACGAGCACGGACCAAAGAAAACATTCTCAATCACCACTGGGAGCTGTTCTTTGACCTTCCGCACACTGCACGAATGTTCAAACCACTGAACTTCCGCAGAGGAGTTCTAAAAGTATCCTTGTCTTATTAATCTCTAGGGCAGAGATTGAAGATAACACAAACGGCAACCGACTGAGTTACAGCTCAGGAAAGATCTGCCTTCCAAGACTAGAGACGGACAAGGACCATGCAGATCATGGTCTAATGAGATGGATTAGCTATCACAGCTCGCATTTTGACTCAAAGTTTTGTAACTGATGAGGCGACTAGGAGCATTGCTGTCATCGCTGGTACATTTGTACCTTAGTCCTATCTTTACTCCTCGGTGGAGAACGGCACTGTCGAAGATATTTGTCTTGTCCGGGAATGCAACATAATGACATCAGCCAGGGCTCGAACCTGGACCTTGCAATCCAGAGTCCAGCATGCTAGTCGTCCTGGGAGCGGAGACAAGTGTCGCACTGTGTTTCTCATCTCAGCGTGTCGAAACACGCTTCAATTGCATCAAATTTCTCCCTTTCCACAAAGACGAAGAAACAGCGGTAATACAAATAACGGCAATTAAATACGCCATATTCGTATTCTCGGTATTTGACTGGAACTAGCTTGCAATGGAGGCTCATGTGGAGGAATATTTATTATTAAAAAGACTGGAGATGAATGTCATTTGTATTTGAAAAGACTCCCGCATTAGCCTCAGTTGCAAGCTAGTTCCAGTCCACTACCGAGAATACGAGCATGGTTTATTGTGAACTAGAATTACCAAACCTGTCACGTGATCCAAAGAGAATTCTTCTTGTTAAGTTGTGATGATGAAGGCAGAGTGTAATAAACGCAAGCTCACCACCTTCCTGTCACGTGACAAGAAAACGTCATTACCTAGCTTGTCTCTGATTTGAATGTGGCCTGCGTAGCTTGGCGGTTTAAGCAATTTAAGCGCACTAAGAAAGCGGCGAAGCTGCGAAAACGAGCGGCGAAGGCGCGAGGAGCTAGGAAGAGAGACAATCCTCGCGGCTTCGCTGCTTTGTGCACGCGCGCCCAAATTGCTTCAAAAATTGCTTAAACCACCAAGCTACGCAGCCTAATTTGAATGGGAAAGTTACAATAATTTTATCTCC